TGAAGTAGGAGAATGAAGCAACTCATTTCTACTAAAAATATAGGTAATAAGCCCAATAGAACACATTGACGAGCATAAAAAACAAAGGGAAAAGCAGTTTGGAGTAGTGGTCTACATTGCTGGGGTTCTGAATTGTGAAATAACCAATAATCCTGTGCATTTTGTTTCTCAAGACACATTTGATTTTCTCATGAGTTTTCATGGTCAAGCCACTGCAGTTAACATTATCGCTGGAAATCTCAATGCTTGTAAAGCTGATTTTCCGTTTATAGCTGGTGATGGAGCTGTTGAGGATGTTAGTGATGTTGACTTCTTCCATTTCTTTAGTACGTTCGTTTGCAGGCCCCTAGGAAACAAGTGTACGGTTAGTTTTAGGGTTTGTCTTCTGCAGAGCAAAAGTGCTTTAATCAATAAGGAGACCATAAGGACAAAGATAAAAGAACACAGCTTCATATGTGTTCATTAAAAACCCCAATAGTCAAACATGCGTTTCAGCTGCTGACTATTTTTAGGAGTGCCTGAAGTCCCAGAGATGCCTGTGGGACTGATGGTTGGTACTGTCTTCTGGGAAGGGAGGAAGAAGGGTTCAGCTTTCCTCTGGCAGAGGAAACTACCTTCCAGATCAGTGTCCTAATCGGAGTTATTCCATAGAAGAGCAACGAGGTGTGTTATACTGGCTCTTCTTTGGATGCATTTTGAAAGAAATGGAGGTGCTTCATGCTCTCACGTGAGCTCAGCTCAGGGCTACAGCCCCAATTCTAGTGGTAGGCCAAAGCGCCTTCCTGCATGTGGTCCTGCGAATCTAACATGACTGTCAGCCAAGGCTGCTGCTCCTTCAGGTGGTGCACAGGAGTCTGTGTCAGAGACCCAGAGATCTAATGTTATTTGTGCATTTGTTGCATACAAAAATTTAGATTTAATGACAATTAGGGGAAGCAATTATTACCGTAGCCATAGCAGAAATACCATTTGTCTTATCCAGTTAGTGGAGGACTAATTATTGTTGATCCATAACTAGGCTTATTATGGTAGATCAGGCTTTACCTCTTGAGGTGCTTTAGCTGCACACTTCTGTGATGAGCTGTAGTGAGCCACTGCATATTCCACAAGGGCACCAAAGATGAAGCTGAAGCAGATGCCAAGGTAAACATCAATGGCCTTAATGAAACAGTTAGTTTTTGAAAGTGAACTTCGTGAGCCGATCATCAGAGTTGTCATGGAAAGCACCGTCGTGACTCCTTGGAAAGCAGAAAAAGACAGACCTTCTCTTGTAGGTGCTTTGGAAAAGGCTTGTCCTATCCTTCTGCACATGCTGTTGCTCTGTTGCTAGTCAGATAGAGCACGTCCCTTCTTATCAAACCCAAATCATCCATCCACTGAAATGCTTTTGTAGCACTAGCTACTAGCTTCACACAGGCTCTCCCTGCCTTTGACAATTCGGATCCAATAGGCACTTGGCTCTCTTAGTTTTCTTGCTTTCAGTAAAAAAAAAAACAAAAACAAAAACACAAAAAAAAAACAAATCCCCCTCTCCCTGCCCCCTCCAAAGCACATCACAAAGAACGTGTGCTCTGTCCTCTGCTCCCTGCTGTGACTTTACTGGGAGCCTTGGCCATACACAGCTCTGCAGGAAGGCAAGCGTGCCAGCCACAGCAGACCTTCCATGCCTCATACTGCTAACCCAGCTCTGCCTCAAGTAAAAGCAGAATGTGAGCAGACCATTTATCGCTGAACAGAGAGCTCAAGAAAACTACTGTCTCCCCAGCCCTTGGAGGCTTCCCTGCCTGCTTAAATCTTATCCCTTCCTCAGGCAGTAACTCACCAATGCAGGTTCTTGCAGGCACTGAATCCAATGTGATCCAAAAAGAAACCCAGGACAACATGACGAGCAGAGTGGAGGGCACATAGGTCTCCAAAATGAAGTAAAGGACATTTCTTCTCAGCTCAAACTGCAAGATCAGTCGTGGGTAACTGCCTGTTAATGAAAGAAAGAAACCACAGTGAATATGAGATTCCCAAGGACCCTTGAACTGAAACTGGGAGAGCCCAGCACCAGCCCTTCAGCTGATGTAGATCAGTAGAGCTGCAGTACTTGTACAAGGCTGACTTCTTGCCTCGGAGGTCTCCTGCAGCGAATCGGTGGGAGATGCAGTACTTGTCCAAGGCTGACTTCTTGCCTCGGAGGTCTTACTTATCTAACAAGAGGACACATACACACAGCATTGCTGGACAAGAGACATTTAAAACAATGTGTGGCTTGTAAAGGGGCTCCTGAACTTAATCCACAGTGGAAACATTTTCTACCAGTGTCTTAACTCAGAGTAGGGAAGGGCTGATGCTTTCATCTATTCTCTCGTACTCAGCACACCACATTTTTTCCAATAACCTCTTTGAAAGGGCATTGCCAAGTTCAGTCTTATCTGATGGCTGAGAAATAAACAATAAACAAAAGATTTTTCTCTTGATTTCAGCAGGCTCTGGCTCATGTCCCAAAGCATCCCAATATCTTATCATTGCAGGGAATTAGACCCCCTGTATTCATTAGTAATTTGTGATCTTTGATAACTGTCTTTTTGTGCTAAAAAAAAAATTAAAAAAAAGATCAGTCAATTCTTTAAAATCATTTTATCATAATACTGCCATAAGGGCTCTGGGGCTGGATTGCTAGTATTTTCAGGAGATATTTCTGCTGTTTAAACAATAGTTCCCTTTGAAACATAGGAACAAAACCCATGTTGTGTGTGGGCTGTGTACGCTTCAGTAAACAACAAAACATTGTTATTTTTAAAACCTGGTCATTCTAAGAAAGTTTTGCCCCCTTTCATAGTGTCTGTCATTGGATAGAAGAATATTTATACTGATAATGAAAAAGACATTGAATTCTGATGTACAAAGGGATCTTATTCCACCATAACATGATAGAATTGTAATTTACAAACAAAAGTATATTTTGAAATTGAATTTTACTTCCAGTTACTGTAAACATGGCTCTGCAGTATTTATAGCCTGCACACCTGGGAGGAAGGGAGAGAGTTTATTCCGGTGTGTGTGGAAAAGCAAAGTAGTGGAGAACTTTAAAAAAAAATATAACTGAAAACCCATCAGGTGAATATAGGTTATTAAAACCCCCATCTTTCTGTGGATTTCCATCTTGGAGAATATCCTGATTGCGACTTCACCATCTTTCTGTCTCTCTCTTTTTGTGAGATTAAGATTTGCTAAAGACTTTGCTGGTTCAGGCCTGAGTCAAAAGATACTGGCCCACAGAAGGGAAGAGAGGTGGGAGGGGAAATACTTGAGAGCTTTTCTCTTTCACCAATTTACCTGTTTCCTGCTGTGACTTTGAGACCAGGGTATAGTAACGTTCCACTGTGTACTGAGAGAGACGCAACTTTTCTATGCCATGGACAGAGTCATTTCCTCTCAACCATGTGAAGATGACATCGTTTTCATCATATCCCCCTAAGCAGAACATAAAGACACATACTGTGGTTTAGCCAGTGAAAGCCCAGCTATTGCCCTCTACTGTCTCCTGGGTGGGAACAGAAACACCACGTAGGCATTGTAGGCTGGACAAAGACCCTCTTAACTGTGTCACACTATGGGTGGACGTTGGCTGTTCTTTTCTTGCTGTCCTGTCAGTTTGCTGGTTCAGATTTCAGTAGGAACACATGCCACTGTGAATGACGCACAACATGCAAGGCTGCTCAGAACCTATTTCAATCATTTACATGGAGTCTTTCTATTTTAAAATATTTTAACATTTGAAGAGATAATATATTCCTGTCATCCGCAGTTTGATTACATGCAGCAGGATAAAACTACTGCAGCGATCAACCCTCAAACATAGTCTCTTAAGTCATTAGAGGAGAGCAGGAGAAACGCAGTGCTTAAAAGAATGTAATCAGATCCCACTGAGCGCCTTACCAGGTAGCACTGAAGCACATTTCACTGAACTGTCTATTCAAGTGCTTAAAAATACCAGAAAAGGCGTGTTCAGTTATTCAAGAGCTTGGAGCCGAGACTGCTATGCAGTTATGAACCAGGTGCTCTTCTGACTGTATATGCGTAGTCCAGAAAACTTGCTCCTAAAAGCAGCTTTTCCACAAAGCATTCCTCTTATCCCCAAAGGCTTCAAGTTACTGAGGACAAATAAATGCATCTGACATTTAAGTAACACTGAATTTCTGCCTCAAAACGGTGGGACAAATGAGATCAACAGTTCAAGCAGTTACTGGTAAATTCCATATATACCAGCTGAGTAATTGCCTCCAGGAATGTAAATGATGGCATTACATGACCTTAGGTTGGACTGAGGGATACCTCAGTCTGAGGGATAAAGCTTGTACTGAGTCACCAGCCTGCTATTCACTTCAAAAATTTCACTTAATTTAGGAAACAAGCCCATCAATCTCATTAATTTGATTCTTTTATTAAGTGCCCTTCTTTGTGAAAATGAGTAGGGATGCTTTGATTCTGACAATAACCTGTTCATCCTGGTAGAAGGAATAAGATGCAGTTGCAGCTCTATTTTTATCTAATTGTGTGTTCTTATTAGATGTAAATTACCAGAGCTTGAGTGTGATGAACTCCTAAATTAGTTGTCCAGGGTATGAATCCCTGTGTACAATCCCTAGCATGTGACTTCAAAGTTTCTAAGCAGTTTTATAAATTGTGGTTACTCAGGAAAATTTTATAATAAATGATAGATTGTTGTTAATTCATCTGGCGTATATTTAAATAGCATTATTTCTGGGCACTTATCCTAATGAAATCTCCAGTGGGCAATGTGCATGTAATTTCACTGGAATTATACAGCAACTGATCATGATGTAGAACCCAATCACTTTTAAAACAGGCCCAAACAAGCTATGCTTTAGCAGAAGAGGCCAATCATTATTATTTCAGAAGCTACTCTTTGTAATAAAGTTAACCATGGTGAACTAATATGATTTTAATGTGAAAATAATATGTGCTTCCATAGGTGCTTCATGCTGCAACCCCAGAAGTTAAAACCTGGTCTTTTCAGTACTGAGATTTTAGATGTTTCTTTTTGAGACATGAAGTGGGAGATGGTTGCTTGCCTGTTGTGGAGCCTCACAGCTACAGAGCAGCAGCACTGCTCTTGCTGAGCTCCTCTGTGTAAAAGCCTTGTCATGTCCCAAATTTTCCTGGAACCTTTCCCAGCCAGCTTTGCTGTGGACGAGCTTTCCAAGGCTGAGACGACTCCTGTTGATGAGGATCCCATCATCTGCATCACTGTAACAGACAGCCCTCGTGAAGTGTTGGCCTTAGTTTCTGTTCATGAATTTGAGAGGCGTGTTCAACTCATATTCTAGTAAGAACCACCCCTCACGCTGTTGTTACAGTGGAGGTTTGGGGGGTGCAACAGGTGGTAGATACCTAAAAATGTGAGAAGTTGTTCCTTGCTGTACTCCATCCCATGCACTTACCCCACGAGTTAGTTTTGAAGCTGTGTGTGCAAAAGCAACCAAATTTGGAAAACCAACAGTTATTACTTCATCCTCTCTGTGCAAAATTGAACTAGCTACTCTTAAATAAAAATACGATTTATTACCACTCTTTATATATAAATTGCACAGTGATAGGAATCCTCTAAGCTGTGGATTACAACAGAAGCATTTGAAGAATGATGAAGCAAAGCTGTTTTCTTCTGGACATCAGTATTTGCAGGAATAAGTCTACTCCAGAATGCCACTGTGATGAATGCAGATATTCAAAATGTATAGTTACATATGAATAAACAAACTTAGAGTCAAGTCAGTTTTTTTCTAGAATGTTATACTTACAGCTTTCTAGCTGCAGTCTGCATGTTTGTGTGTCCATGGGATATTTTGACAGGTCCATGTTACAAGCAACAGTTGTAGTGATTCTGTAGGAAGAGAAAGAACTCTGAAAGTTGCAATAAAAGCCTGTAGTGAAGTATCTCTGGTTTTCATAGCAAAGTCGACCACAAAGACTCTGCTCTGTCATTTAGATAATTTTGACCTATGAAGTGAACGAACTGATATAGTCACAGAGAACTCTTAAGAAGATATGCTCTCTGCAACCACACTGGTGAAAACGTAACTGAAGCAGGAATTTTGCTTTGCTGTGGTGGGAGATTTAGTGTAGATTCACATGTTTTCCACTACCATGGTTTGTACATCTTAAGAAGTTACCAGTTGTCACCTGAGGCACAGTAACTCACTGCTCTGGCTTGCTCTGATGTGGAGGGTAAACGGGTTAGTCTGCTAAACGGGTTAGCAGCTTTACTTTGCAGTTAAGGTAACTGGGACACAGTCCCTGTGAGCTAAGAAGAGGTAACAGTGTATGAACTGCTAACGCAATTACAGTGCACATTTCTGCAGTACATGTACAAATACGCTTTTTGCTAAAAAGTGGAAATCGTGGCTACATGGCACCGGATAAGCAAATTGTTTCCCACTGTCTGTTAAACTTTTACTGTTACCGTGTCCTCCCTCCATCTGACTCTACCTGACTTGCCTTGGGTGACATCTGAGCTCCTGAGAACCTTCCGAGCAAGCACTGTGCTCAGCACACAACACATAACATCACGGGGAATCCTGATCCTTGACGAGCATTTCCAGGTGGCCAGAACAGGGCACAATGGATCAGAAAAGTTCGGTCACAGTTGGCTTGTTGACCCCAAGCTCATTACCTGTGACAGTTAGTATCTGCTGTCCAGCGTAATTCTGGAAATCTATTCTGAACCATCATCATCAACAAAACCAAAGGTTGACCTACCTTAAGGCATACAAGATAGTGCCATTAGAGAACAGCCTTATGAGGCGGTTCCCCACAGTGACATCATGCAGGAAGGACCTTTTTGACTCCACAATGTACGTGTCTGGTACCCAGAGCAATTCCACTAGGCGAGCATCTAGCGTGAAGCTCTTGTTGCCATGAAAGACCAATCGGGGGTCTGTCCAGCGCTGTCGCAAATATATAGTGGCTGTGTAATCCTGGGAAAGAGAGGAAAACCTGTGAGGATGCGTGTCCACAGCACCTGCACAGCGTAGCTGTGGGGATGCCATGTGCGACAAGAGGCAGAACATGTTTGTTTAACCTAGTGAAACTCAGCTTCAAAACACGTGGTAAATCTGACAGATTTTCATCATAGCTTTATTTACTATATTACACTCTAAGGTGTGCCTGAGGACTAAAGGTTACACTCGTACTTTTTTTTAAAAAAAATGAACAATAATCGATATTTTTGTGTCCATTTTATAGGTAAGAAAACATGGGAAGTGCACACTTGAGGCCACTCAGCAAGTCACTCACATTAAAAAATCAGTCATTGACTATAGCTGGAAAATTACACATGTATTATAAATGTGATCATGAAAGAGACATCAGCACTTTAGGGAAAAAAGGTAAGCAAATCCAACCTGGTTTTTTCACCGAGGTCTTAAAAAAACCCTAAGCAAATGAAAAAACCAAAACTTGTAGCATCTTTTTTAATAGGAGTTTTGAATCTAAGGACAGTAGGATTAACTTGAGTTTAGCATGCCAAAACCTACCTGCAGCGACTGGAGTATTTTCACAGTGCCCTGTCATAGAATAAGCAGTATTCAGCTCTAAAGATAATTCTTTACTGAGCTTCTGGACAGACACAGAGTGCTGTTGTACTATTTCACTTCCTTCCTTATCAATGAAGTAAACACAACCAGTAATGCCTTTTATTTTCAAAACATCTCTGTCACAGACAGACCAATACTAGTGATTCTGTTAACAGAGTGAAGTCACTATGTTTTACCACAGATATGCTGCCTGTCTGTGGAGGATGAAGCAGTTCGTTTCATTTGATCTATAATTTGTAAAATGTTTTAAGAGAAAAGGTCTAAGTAGATATCAAGTATCAGCATTTAGCTTTTGTAACTTTTAAAATTTTACTCTCAGCTTATGCGAGAGGAAAAAACACATCAAATAATGCACTGTTATGGGTTTCAATGCAGTGAATTATGAAGTGACAAAAGTGAAGAATCCTGGTTGATTTCCAGCTTTTATCGAGGCACAGAGTAGGCCTCTGCAATGTTTTCCACATGGTCAGAGCAATTTAGATCGTAGACCATCACGCAGGAAGAACTCCAGAACAGGAGCTATTTTAGAAGGCCTTTTAATTAAGTTAGACGTATGCAAATAATTGCTTTTGTTGGTTCTGCCACTTCCCCAGAGCGAGTAGCTTTATCAAACTTAGAGTATTTTATTTAGTGAACTTGTTTAATTTGTTGGGGGGAGAGAAAAAAAAAAGTCCATGGTGTTCTTGAAAATGCTGAAATAAGGTGTTGAAATTGTTCCTGATGGAACTTTGGACTGTTTGGACTGAAACTATTTGCTGAATTTACCCAAGTTGCCCATAGTTTTGGTCAACCCAAAACAGTGTTTGAAATCCAGCTGTTATCAGAAGCAGAGGGAACCAGGTTCATCAGTGGTGGGAAGATATTCTCTGTATATTTGAAAATTGTTCTTATTTTTGTTTCTTGGGATGACCAGTTCTTTGAGCCTCAGGCTGTGTCACAGCTCAAAACCTCCTTTCTCCTCCCTGAGAAGAAACGCTGTCTGTGTCTTCAGTCAGCGCCAGCACGTCCAACAGAGGCGACCCCTGCCCTACACACAGGAAAGGTAAGAGAGAGGAAATGCCACACGGGATTGATTTTTTCCATTCCAAAGGGGCCTGGATTTCCAGGAGGTGCTGAGTTTTTGACCCGTGAGACCTTTGGAACCATCTCTATTTACTTACAAGCCCACATTACTATGGTATCTGAATAGTCTGCAGTCATAAGTGAGCTCTGTTCTCATCACACCTCTGAAAGTGCTAAACAGATACAGAAAAGCAAAGCAGCTTGAATATGACACACAGGAATGTATGACAAGTCTCTCAGGCAGATCCTACTCTTACCCCTTATAAAATTCTTTCACTTACCATGTCACTCTCAGATATACTAGAAATACTTGCAATGTCCAAACTCATTGCAATTTGAACAGGTTCTCCTGTGGAGGGGAAAAAAAAAAAAAAAAGCTTAAGCAGAGAGAAGGGAAGAGTGAAAGGCACAATAAGACCGCTCCGGATGCTGTGCAGCATGGGCTCTGCTCACAGTGTCCCATGCTGTCTCTAAAACCCAGGAGCCCAAAGCGTTAGACACAGTTTTGGAGCATTAGAGTCACAAATGACATCAGGATCCAAAATACAGTTGTTGCTGTTAGGGAGCTGGAGTTCTGTATTTGGGTGGTAGCAGAGAGCAACTATCCAGGACACTAGCTGTGAAGATCAGCAGTTTAGATAAGCGGCATTTCAGTGGCATTTGCTGATGGGCGGGCAACCAGGGCCAGTTCATCCCTTGTTACCTAGTGCACGTGAACACCCGCACACTGGCAAGAATGGTAAACTTTGTACAAAGTAGCTTTCACACACAGCTCTCGGAGGACTCCCCACAAGCAGGTAGCAATCAGCATCCCTATTTCTCAGAGAGGAAAAACTAAGAGGCAGAGAAATTCAGTGATTCCTGAGACAATGCACTGGGTTACAGCCAGAAGCACAACAGCCTTTGCTTCTTTTTATTTACTATATTACTGTTCTATTTACAAGCAAGTTTTCAGCACTCAAGTCCTGAATTTCGGTAGTACCCCATTTTCTAACACTAACTTAAAATCCACCACGAGAGGGCAGCTCCTCCCCAGGAAACGGCAGAGACGGGGCTGGAGAGGGCTCACCGGGTCCCGGTGCAGAGGAACCGGCGGGCTCTGACGGGGGGTGGTTGTTAGACCAGCAAAAAGACACTGACTTTCCCTTAGGCTGTGCCTGGTTTGGCTAATCCCCAGTGTGAATCTGGGGCTCTGAGTAGGACTTGGCGTAATCTCCGTTACACAATTCAGAAGCATCTGTTCACTGATGCGACAGGATCTAGAGGAGCTTTTCTATTTCTGCATGAGATCAGACATTCTAGGCGTAACAAACTGGTAAATTCTGTATTGTCCCAGAAATTTATCACCACGGGCAGGAAAAGGAAGAAGCTCAAAGCTGCTAGCAGCAGCAGGTCAGTCTGCAGGAGCTACAATGGGAGACATCCAAGTCCTTGTGAAAGCCGATGGGGAATTTTTCTATTGAGCATAGTTTCATTAATGGGTTCTGGCAGAAAAGGAAAACCAAAAAATTTTCATAGCTGTTTTTTTTTAAACTTCATCATCAATATTTTTCAGGTGCTGAATGTCATTCTGAATAACCCTTTCCTCTGCGTGGTTACAGCACTCACCTGGAAGGTGGGAGACCTGACAGCTGAATTGGACAATAGCCTCAGGTAAGTTCCTAAATACCTGACTGTCCTTCAGGTGCTTCCTACTCCCTAGAGTTTCATGAGGGTTTAAAGCAAGTTTAGTTTGCATCTTAGTACGAAGTGAAAACATGCATCACGATTCAGTATTTCTGGTGAGGAGAATGACTTTGTATACATGAGCAAAACTAAAGGAGAAAATCAAAGAGAGTCAGATTCTAAAGAAAAGCATGTACAATTAGAGCAGAATTTACCTACTCTGTTGGGTCTTTCGTAGAGGTATTGAAGTGTATAAATTCCCTGTTCCTAATCTCATAAGTGGACGTGTTCTCATGCCCTACACGTGCATCATGCACGCACAATCTGTTCAAGACAACAGTGGATGCTCAGAAAGGAGGGCAGCCTTGGCTACTCGCTAATTTAAAAGGAACACAACCAAAAGGACTGGGGCATCCTAAAGTAAGCGTAAAGCATGCTGTCCCCTCCCCACAAGCCTTACAGACTGTTCTTCAAACCGTCAAATGCATGGAGCCAACATACCGCCAAAGTAGGGCCTGAGGTATTTGTTGTATCCCATGGTGAGGTTCTCGAATCCAGGGAGGGATGTTGTGTCGCTGCTGTGCAAGTCGGATATGTGACCCAGGGAGCACCTCCTGGGGACACAAATATGTACTGTTACGTGTGGCCAGGCCTGCTGGGCACACCTGGTGTGCAGCTGCGGCTGGGTTTCCAGCTCATGCTCAACCAAGCAAAAAAACTGCACAAAATGATTATTAAAAGTAGATAACTGAAATCATGAGCACTTGCTCACATTGCTTATCTTGGCTGAATAGTTAGCACCTTGAAGAGGTGGGAAAATGGCAAATTACCTCAGCTGATAGCTACAGGTTTGTGCACACAGGGGCTTAAGGACATTCTTGAAATGTCCCAGACAAGTCAAGCAAGGTCTATATAGTCTTAATAATAGTCTATACAAGTCTTAATAATAACCCTCAATCTCCCCCTTCCCACTCCTCCTCATACAGTCTCTATAAGGAACATGCATTTCTTTTTTCCTCCTGCTTGTGACAGCCTGAGACAAATCTTACTGACCAGACTCCTCCTCCCTTATCACGAGTTCCCCCAAGAAGCTTTCATCCTCATGTGTGAGTGTCAGGCAGCATCCCTACAGCTACTGTCAGGAGTAAAACCTCTGGGTGCTCCGGGAGGGGAAAGGTAAAGCACTGAATGCTTCACAGACACCAAGAAAGCTTTGTGGGCTGAACCACTCCCAGCTGCTGCGCATACAGAGGGTTCAACTCCAATTTACAATGTCAAAAGTAATGTTTTGTGGACAGACAATAAAGCAAGTACCTGATGGCATGAGGCCATCACACAGACAGCTAGAGAGACAGGGCTTCTAGACTGGGAAAGGTAAGTTTTATGGTGCCGTGTCCCTGTGTGGTCATGTGCTCACTTGATGAGAATGTAAGTGAGCGAATTGTTAAGACTTTGTCATTGCTTTGTGAAGGGCTGAAGGAAGTGGAAGGCAGTGCCTCTCCCCAGAGTATCAGGACCACTGGTCTGTGCAGTAAGAAACTTAGCAAGATAGTTACTCAAAGCCCTGATGAATTTTTTTCTTGTGTTCCCTTTAAAGCTGGGTTAGTAGCCCTTGGAGCTTTGCTGCACGTTTTAACCAAGAAGGACCATACTGCAGAACTGAACCAGTTAGTGCACAGCATAAACCTAAACCTTTCAAAAAACTTAGGACTTGTAGGTCCAGGGGTGGTAGTAACACAGCTGGGAGTCCTGTGGGGGCATTTCCATTTACAGCAAAACCTGCAAACTATTCTGCTCCTGAACAGGAAATCAGAGGTTGTGCTGTTACCGTACACACTGTGTTTTGGGGACCTATGCAAGTTGCGCTCTTCTGTGCCACATCCCTTACTGCACCCCAGCTTTCTTTGGATGGGCTGGACAATTGGAAGCATAGTTTCCTTTTGACCCCCATTATTTATATGAGACATAATTCACATGTTCCCTGTAAAACAAAACAAACACTTCACTTACCTTGAGGTTGGAAGGAAAAGACACAGACTGAGGAAGCAAATGTATCTGCAGAACATCTCTGAAGAGTATTTCTGTATTTGCCTTGCTTGTCTGTGAAGGGGAAAAGAAAGGCAAAGTTTTGTGGTTTAAGAAAAAAAATATTTAAAGGGAAGGGGACAGGGAAAAGAAATCCTGCACAGTCAGAACCACACACTGTGTGGTGTTTAATGTGCCCAACACATAGTGGCTCCTGCCCTTTTTTCTAGCTCACGTTGGTTTTCAGCACTAAAAAGACACTAGTGACAACTCAAGTCCTGAAGTCCTTCACAGGATCACTGAATTTTATCTGCCACTGTGTTTTAGATCGGGCTTTTCTTCTTTCAGCATGGGATGGCGATTAGCTGATGTTAAGAATGGCACCAAGGGAAGGGATTTATTAAATAGGAAAATGTTTAGGCAGTCCCTAAAGGCAGTCAGACTCTGAAGCCAAGTGAGATCCTGCCCACACATGACAGATTCAGCATCTTTTAGTCCACGGCTCCACTAATCAACTACGCAGAAATGCTGTAGCTCTGCACTCCATTAGCTTGTACCTGGGATAAACACATGCTATTAATAGTAACGTTGGCAACTCACTCAGCATACAGTACAGGATGAAATCATTCCACTTTAAATGGGTTTCGTTGACTTTTCTGGGAGCGGAACCAAATCTTGGCTTCTGGCCCGCGACTCCCACAGGCTCATGTGTGCCTTGGAGCGGCCGCGACGATAGGCAGCTCCTAACTGAGTACCGCTCTGCTCTGCATTTTTGCTCCCTGCCTGAAACGCTGCATCAATTGCACACCTTTTCTCAAGCGTACGGATGGCGCTCTGCCACACACCTCGTGTGTTGCCACAGCACGCTGCTGCAGGATGGGCTGGTGAGGACTTGGTGAGGACGCCTGCCACAGCTGCCAAGGGGAGATCGTTACTCAGCTATCATTAGTTTGCGCTGGAAACAATACTGCTTGACCTGCACTGCTACACTATTTGAAGTGTACCCTGTGTGTCAGCGTTTTCCTGCAGATACTGGCAAGGCAACATCATTCTTGGATGGATACAAGTTTTTCTCTTCATTATACTGTTACAAACTGGGATTAATTGTGCAAATTGTTAGTCCCAGTGCCTTGGCACCAGTGAGAGCAAGATCCCAGTTTCTCATTCAGTGCCTTTCTCATCACGCATGGCAGTTAGGGCCGCAACTTCAAACCTGTTCCGTGGTAACCCAAACATCAGGAATTTTCTGCTTGGGTTAGATTCTTCCTGCAGCAGTTCACCACAGCCCATAGGACACTGCCTTCTCAGCTCATTGTACAGCTCTGGTGCTGTGCCTTTGGGACAGTAGGGCTCCAGGCAAGGAGAACATCTCAGCCCATACAGAACACCTGTAAAAACACCTGAACATTCAAGTGCTACAAATGCAGGGCATCCCACTGGAGAAAGGATGTTTTTAAAAATAAAATACGCTCTAATATCTGTCCAAAATCTGAATTCCTGGCAAGGCTTTGCACTTCTAGCCCTTTCTCTGAACGTGGTGTTCAGGTGTTTCCAGACGTTATCGAGTGTTTCTCCCTATCAGTCAGGGCTAGAGAGAATCATTTACCCACTCACAGTAATGTTAGACCACAATTTTGATAGCAAAGAAGAAGGATGAGGCCAGGCAATTTAAAGAACTTCAAGGAAGAAAGGATCATTCTACCATCTAGCATGTAGTTAAACTATGAGAATTCATGAACTTTAGCTGAGGAACAGCCCCTCATGGGCATCTTCACAAGCATCTGTTGCACGCAGGGGCTGTGGTTGCTAGCGTTTTGGTGCAGCAGAATAAGTTTCTAAGCAGTTTTATTCTATCTGATCCTAGCTACTAAGACCTTATTTTGAAAAAAGCAAGCCAAATTCTGTTTATTTTGATGACTGATGGAGAATGGATGGAGACCTCTTGCATAGTAAAAAGCCTTCGTGGGACCCTGTAGTGTCTTCACTTAACAGAAGTAAAGCGTGCGCTGCAAGTGTGCTACTGCTACACAGCACAGGCAGTTGAAACAAACACCACAGATGTATTTATAGCTGCTGCTGCCACAGACCTGAGTGAACTACACAGTCTAAATTTCTGCTAATTCTTTGCAAAACAAGGAAAATATTGTCCTTCAGAGGATGGCTGTGAAGATAATAAACACAAAGACTGTGAGGCAGTGAAAGGGGGATCTGGAAGTACCTAAGAGAGCTAGAGACTAGGCATACCAAAGTACTCATGGGCAAGAAAAAGGTGACACCAGTGCCCAGAGCTAAATATAACCAAAGTGGTTTTTTATTCTTCAGTGTATTGGTTAATACAATTGCAATTCTGCTTTTATTGTGCAGGAGCTTTCATTAGAGGTTACCAGCTTCATTAGTACAGTATACTGGGAAGAAATTATGATAAGATTGTATATTTATGTTTCTCTGTTCAGTAAAGGATTTCAGTTTACTCTAATAGAAAAAAAAAAGTCTTAAGCACTGTTCAAACTGGACGTTTTCCTATGGTCAATAAAAGCACGGCACAGGCAATACCAGAACAGCAGTAGTCATGATGGCAGTGCTAGTACAACTGGTGGAGAGATTGCTTCCAATGCCAAAGTTATATAAAAATCATTCATTATGTAGACTCGGAGATAATGAAAATCTTAAGTATATAATAGGTCACTCAACTCAGCTCTGTGTTCTCCCTGTTGGCTGTGAAAATTATACAAAGATGTGAGTAGTATAGTAAAATAGATCCAACTAGAGTCCTCTGTGGAAGCCTGTGTCCACTTCCAGAGGATTTCATGAAATAACGCTCCTTTACACCAAGCAACAACAGCAATTTGCGTCTCCACTACAGCTCAGCCTGTGCTTCCTAAATTCTGCTTTATTCCTCTGTCTTTGAAGCGGTGGTAAGAGTGAAAACACAAAAAGAGGAAAAAAATCACTGGCAGCTTCACTGATTCTGTTTCTAGGGAATGGGGTGTGAGGTAACAGAAGTACTCTGTCACCTGGCAGGGCCTGAAGCGGTACCCAGGCTCCTCTGCACCCCTGCCAGGGTAACCCGCAGTGACAGGCTCCTCCATCTCCAGCAGTCATGAGCTGTGAGGGAAGCGGGCAGGAACCTCTGCAGTCCTGTGTTACCTCTGCATAACTGTGCACGAGAAAGTCGGAAAGAGCCGTCTGTGTCTCACCGCACAGAGCAGAAGATTAGCGCATTCTCCGCTATTCTACCAGCTCATGACATCCCAATCCCAGGCAATAGGAGCATTCTGGAGAATCTAAAAAAGCCACCCAGAGGGCCAAACCCATGTGACCAGTGTACTCAGCTTAAGGTAATAATTCACAAGGTCAAATTTTACTAGAGCCAAATTGCTATGACTGCTGAACATGCCACAGGCACGCAGGTGTCTTGGAATACAATCTCACTGGGCAAGATAGACAAAACAGAATAAATGCCGGAATAAAAACAGATTGCATTTAATTTGCCCATTTAGCTGTTGCCTCTACTTATTACACAAAGTTAAGATTTTCATGATGAACTCAGGCTTAATTTGTGTGTTCTATTTCCCTTGCGCTGTGAATGAAAGCTCTGCAGGAAACACCGCAGGCTGCTTGTGCTGCGGGCAGGTGGGGTTCGTGAGCACCGCTAGGCACAAGCGGTCCAAGCACAGCCTGCGTCCCATGTGCCAGGTCCTCACGCAGCACCCAGGACACCCTCGCACCCGAAACCTCAGCTTGCCTGAACCAAACACAAGTGAGACCACATCTGAAAATTTTAGGCAACCATTTTCACTGGGGTGTTTTCACGAGTGCTTTGATTCCCAGGACAAAGTTTGACAGGCATCACATGAGGACACTTACTTTCATCTCAGCCGTGGAGCAATGTGGATTGTTTGGCTCTGCTGGAGGACCAGCACAGCGTGGCAGCACTTCCACAACCTTTCCTCTGCACAGGCCCAGGCGCGTTTCTCAGTCATGGTCAACACGGCCAGCGCACAGGAATGGTGCCACAGAGGGAGGCTGGAGGGTCAGGCACTGCCCTTTTGCTCCCTGTATTGACTCCCGAGGAGTAACTGTGCACGAGAAAGCACCACTACACCATCACCATGAGTTTCCAGCTTCATGACTGCCTCGTGGCTGCTTTGGCCACTGACACAAATGCAGTAGTTGTCAAATACAATTGCAAAATGATGAAAGAGGCAAAAAGCGTCACACACCCTGGGATCAGACTTCACTGGCTTTGCCAAAATGTCACTTCAAGGTCAACATATTTGTTTACCTACAAGAGGTTTTGAGTGATTTAAGACAGATATTATCTGTCTTCCCTTTTAAAAATGTTTCTTTTTTCCCCTCTGCCCAGCCCGAACTGTGAGCACTTGGTCTGGTCTTGAAAGACGACTACTTTGGGGATGTGCAGGGGCAGGGGATTTTGTAAGGAAAGGTTCATGGCATGACAGCTGCTGCGAAAGAGTCAGGTATTCCGATGATTTACGAGAGCTGTTCAAATTTTAACTTGCTGACCAAACAAATCATTAAAGGCTTTTATTTTCAGCTGATCTAAAATTATTTGCCTCTCAATTTCCTCAACTTTAACTTGATTTTTTTTTAAGCTTTAAAGCTTGTTTTTCCCAGAAAAAAAAGTATTAATTGCTATCTTTTCAATTTTTGAATGTTGAAAATCTATTTTGGCAGGGCAGGAGAAAATCTGAAGCAACTACAAGGAAGAGAACAGAGTTAACAACAGGGAAACATTTTCATGCAACTTTTTTATGCAAGCCACTCTCTACTGAAAACTTTAGTTATTTGGCACTGAAATCAGTTTATACAGAATGAATCGCATTATTACAGAACTAAAGAGCTAGTGAGATCCTGTCATGTGTCAGCAGATCCATGAGCTCACTCCTCAGCCAGCCAGGACAAAAAGGGACACTGGAGGCTGATGGCAGAGAAGGGGATGGGAGAACCCGGAAGCAGTGCCTTTACCAGCAGGTGGGTAATACAGAAATTAATTGTTTCTGATCTTTTAGCTTCAAAA